CCAGGGATCTTCGATAGTGGCATATGGGAAGTTCCCTGGCAAAGACGTGAGCCATGACATCAACTCAGCCTCGATGGCATATGCAGATTCAAGCATTTTCTTCCGGTCGGTTAAAATCTTTTCCTTGATGTCAGCTCGCAGGTTTGCTAGCCGGCCCATTATGTTAATCAAGCGGTCACCATAGGCCACTGTATGCGGCCGAAGAAACATGGCAACTTTGACACAGTGAAGAACTGAGTCGGGCACACGCGCCTCTCTTTGGAGACAGCCTATGATCTTTTACACATTGTGAGTTAGTCAAACGCTCCATTTAGGGGCGAAGTAGACTTTTAGAACGTACGATTTGATATCGCAGCTGCAAAAAGAGCTGCAGCCCATCTGGGTCCTGGAGCTGCTCCACACCTCGCAGCTCTAGCAGCGCTACAGCGCCACGTATGTGATTTGTCCAACTGTCAATAAAGCGCGAACCTCTACTGGTAATCACCTGGAAAACATTAGAATCGGGTCTTGAAACAAGCAAGGCCGACTTACCTCGAAGATAGCCAACATAAGGACTGCGGCAAGCGTTGCATTGTTCTTAGCTTGCTGTTGATCTGCAACGGCCGTGGTGAGGAGCTGTAAAGCATTTCCATACTCCTTCTCTGCGGCTATTTTCATCGGTTCAGATTTCCTGATACGCGAGATCATTGCTATGCCAACAGAAGCCAAGCTGGTCATCAGGGCGTCATGGCTAGTTGCCGATGCCCTGCGCAAGATATCGGGATTTGCTTCAATCTTCGACCAGAACGATCCGATCCAAGCATTCTGGCGAAGGAAATAGGAAATAGCTTCATTTTTGGTCGGTTGATACGATGGTTGCAACACTAGGGGCTGCTGTATGGCGTGCTGCTCGACAAATTGTGGGGATAGACACACAGGACCGTCGAACTCAGGCGGTTCCAGATCGCCGGTCGATAAAGATGGATTACTGCCTGCTGGGGAACACACTGGGTCTGGACTAGGACTAGCAGCTACCATGCCACTGCCACTGGGGGAAGCAGCAGCAGCTGGGGCACTAATACAGGTACTAGTACTACCAGGGTCGGTCTTTCTAGAAGACTTGGCTCTGCGGGCCTTTGTCCCGGTCCGCGCTTTCCGGATAACTTGCTGACTCTCATCCCGAAACATCAAGGATAGTTGGTCGCGGTATCCGGGACAGATCCGGTTGCCCTTGGCACATTGTGAACAGGTAGGACGGGCTTGGTCGCACCGGATTTTGCGAGACCGGCATTCGCCGCAGCCCTTGCTTGGTTTGCCGCAGAAAACCATGTCTAATACTAGACAGGGGCGGGGCGTCGCACGGAATGCAATGTGGCGCTGTGGACTAATCAAACTAGAATCCAGCATGAGTATACATTCTGACCTGACCAGATTTGGAGGATAGCGGGGGCCAGTTTGACGTGCAGCTGAATCGGGTAACCAGTGCGAAGCTCAGGGGATGGGGGAGGCCAGGGTTCCAACCTTTGTACAGCAGACACTGGTGGTAGTGTCACGGCAAATACAAGACTATCTGATGATCTTCATGTCTGGGATTTTCCGACGAGGAGCAGCGCGGAATATGAATGAAGTGAGGACTTCGGAGAACGTTTGAGGCTGGTCGCTGCTGGCCGAGATGCCTGAGGCGCAGCGATCCCCGCGTCCACGTGCATCTCACCCTTAACCCGATCAAGTATCCCTTGCGATGGTCGCGTTGCTTAGCATTTGACTTTAACTCCTTTGGAATCATCGTCATTGGATGGGCTTACTATCCCATGCTTTACGCAGATTTTAAATCATCCTTCTATTGAAACCTGTGGCTTACTCCTACGTCACTCAGACGGTGCTTATCTTTCAGCTAAAATGGTGTTAAATTGATTAGGGCTCTTGGGAATACGTTAAGCATGCAGTCATCATATAAACAAACATGTGGTGTATATACAGGATAGGCTTTTCACATCATTACTACTAGTGATAGGTGATCTCCGACCATCAGGAATCGGAGAGCTGGTACTCTTTTGGAACCACAGGCCACTCGTCCACACCATCCAACAACGCCAACGCCATGCCACCACTCAGATGCACCTGAATATGGCAATGGAGCAGCCATGCACCGGGATTTACAACATGGTACCTGATTGCCAGCCACGTGTCTTCGGTCGCCGCAGCTGGAGTGATGAAGGTATCCCGAATCTGAGGAGTCTTAAGGTTGAAATTCTCCGGGATGTATTGCATCGCTTCAGCCACAGATGAGTAATTCCACGCGCCGTTGCCTTGACCGATCACATAGAATTTGTTGCTATGCTTGTGAATCGGGTGAGGAGGCTGGATCTGACCGTTCACATGGAAGATCAAGTCGACCCAGGTTCCATTTAGCGTCTTGACCGTGAGATCAGGCTTAGCGGTAGATGGATAAAAGAGCAAAGGCGATGCGGCTTCCAGAGAAAGTGGGAAACTAGAGTTGCCCTCAGTCCACCGGTAAGAAGCATTGTAGTGGCCGATCCTGAGGATATGGGTCGCGGCGACCTCTGAAGATGGTGTCTCTGCAGGGAATGGCATGATCGTAGTCTCGTTCAACAGAGTGTAGTTGGAAGACACAGGCGATCCGTGGATATCAATTGAAGGCACCGAAGAGCCCTTCTGGGACTTGATTGCTGTGTTGTATGTGAGGACTGCAGTCGCGTTGATGACTTGATTGATACCTGAATTCGCCGCGCGAACAGTATAGTTACCGGCAGGCTTGTCCAATTTGACAAGAACGGAGTAGCGGTTTCCGTTGGCTATAGTAACTGCATCCACCAACGTAGGCTCGATGTACCGTCCGTCAATAGCATAGACGTACATCGGGTGCTCATCAATGGAAAATGTCAACATCGAGACCCCAGCCGCGCTGATCAAGTCATAACTGGCATATCTGACAGACGGGTCTACCAGAAGACGCTCGGTACCACCATTGCCAGGACGGCAGCCATAAAACATAGAAGGCGGCATAGCGCTGTAGTTGTGAGAATATGTGCCTTGAGCGGACACTAGCGTTGGTGGAATGCATCTAGATAAACCTGTTAGATACCGGTTACACATCAGGTGTGTTACACATACCCCGTGTCAGTTAGGCTTAGGTTACCAATGAGTTGCTTCTGTTCAGCGCTGGCCAGCTCATTGAAGGCTTGCTGACCCGGACAATTGATCGATCCTTTGCCGTTGATAAGGACCGCATTGATACATATGGCGTCTAGTCCCGTCGCTTCCTCCGCACTCCACAATTCTTCCGAGGTCAAGAATCGCCAGTCGGACAGCATTATAGGTTTACTCCTCCGCTCAGCTGCTTGCATGGCTTGGAGCTCGCTTGTGTTGTTCGTGATTAGATGGAATGGTTTCTCCACTGATTCATCCGGGAGAATGTAAATCGCGCCATAGAGGCCGTCACAAATTTGACCTCTGGTGTGGGCATGGTAGAAATAACTTCCATAATTCGTCGCTCGCCATTTGTAGAGGAAACTGTCACCAGGCGCGATAGGTCTTTGCGATAAACCGGGGACGCCATCGGACCAAGGAGTGTCAAGCTGCTCGATACCTTGCAGGGGTTAGTCTTGGTTATTGCACTTAATAAAGCAAAACCTACCATGGAAATGCACTGTGGTATTTGTAGGAAGATGGTTAGTAACTAGGAACTCGACATTATCCCCTTGCCGCAACTGCAGTGCCGGTCCGGGAAATTGGCCGTTCATGAGGATCATCTTGCGAGGGATGCCTGCCGGCGCCCAGTCCTCCCATGTCAAGCTGACATTGAAGCGCACCGTGTTACCGGTGGCACGCACGTGGAGATTGCTGCCATTGGCCCACGAGAGCAGAGAGAAGACTGATGCCAATAAGGCCAGTCCGAATTTGAAGGAATACATTCCAAGCAACAGAGGCAAAATTAGAAGTTATGGCAGCCGCAGCCAGACAAGCCAACACCAAAAGGTGAGCCAAGTGGCTTACCCTGCCTTATATGTTCCATTTCATCGAAAGGGGCAAGAAAGAAGCAAATGAGTTTGCTGCTTTCGAGGCCTGATTGCCATGCCTTGTTTCTCACTTCGTGTTCGTGAACGGGCCTGTGGCTTTTTGGCATATGCTGGCGAAAAGTTCCGACAAATTGGAACGCCTGCAGATGTTGCTTTCATGACTCAATAAGCTCACATAGCTGGCGGGCTGAAGGGAAAACCTTCGATGAAGCTGATCTGGGCTACTCCATACAAAGAGGAATGCACCGGTCTCATTGGGTGATCTTAGTTCTGTGGGGCTTGGGCGTCGAGTAATCGGCCATCCTGGACCAAAACTGCTGCTCAGACCCACTGAGTTATTGCAATGATCGTCGCCGATGGTGAACTGGCCCCTCGCAGGAGCCGTATTCTGTAGAACTGTGGATAGAACTATCCACGAAGGGGCTGTTCAAGACTGAGCTATCGGGCCGCTATCCGAGTTCCAGAACCCGGGATTTAATCGGGCATGTTTATGATCCATGCAGGAAAGACTGGTTGATCTGTTGTCTTAGCATGACTCGCTCAAAAACCGAGAATTTTCCGGTGTGCTTCTCTTCACACAGCTACCTGAAGAACAGGCCAGCATGGAAACCATCATAAAATCGGCATCGCCGCAGCCAGTCACCCAAGAGCATCTGTCATCTGACAGCTGTGAGTTGGCAAGCTGATGAGTGAAAGTGAAAACTCTCATAAATCTCATCCTGACAGGCATTTGCGCTATGATCAGCGAAAGGAAGCAGACGTGGAAAGTCAAACATCCCGAAGGGGAAAGCTTTTCGGATTTTTCAGGCAGCCCGCGGAAGTGTCAGCTGTGCATTGGCATCATCAACACTATTGGACATCATGCATGTATTCCCGATAGCCGAGCAAAATGGCAATAACAGCCGAGGGTCTGGGCCAGGGCCAACTCTCCCTCTTAGGCTACACATACACAATAGCAAACGCCCACAAGCCATCCCCATCTTACTGCGCAATAAATCCCCTATAATCGTCAGCACCAAATCATCCAGCAAAAGCCTCCAAGAAAAGAGCGACCTACCCATCCACCACCAATGCAGACCCATACATATAGCTACTCATCGGCGACAACATGAACGTAATCGTGTCCGCAATTTCCTCTGCATCCGCCAATCTCCCCACAGGGACTCTCGCCACTTCCTTCTGCATCACTTCATCAGGCATCTGATCGATCATCGGTGTCTGAACATAACCAGGACAGATAGCATTAATCCGGATCCCCAGAGGCGCGTAGACAATAGCATCAGCCTTGGTCATCCCAACCACACCATGTTTCGCAGCGGTATAAGAAACGATGGGTATATTGACCGGCGTCGCTACAAGACCATATGCAGATGCGACATTGACAATGACACCTCGTGATGAACGGGGACTGCACACATCACACATTAGCACTAACCGAACCCCATCATCCTCATCATCATCCCAACAAAATAAAATCCTCACCTATCACCCCTCTTCTCCTGCCCCATCATAACCATAATCTCCTCCCGACTCGACATCCACACCCCATGTAAATTGACCCCCACCGTCTTCTCCCAATCCTTGATATCATGATCCCCCGAATACGCCATCGACCCAGCAATCCCAGCACTATTGACCGCATAATCGATCCTCTCGAATTGCTTCACCGTCTCCGATACAGCCTCGTGGATAGAGACCGGATCAGTCACGTCAATGCACAGCGGGATCGCTCTCACTCCACTGAAGTGGGCCTCGATGTCCTGGGCGGTTTCCTGTGTCGCGGCGAAGTTGAGATCAGCGATAGCGAGCTGGCGGACGCCGTGTCGGGCGAGGGCATAGGCGGTGGCTTTTCCGATTCCTGTGTAGTGGATTAGTTTATTTTGATTTGCTTTGAGGGGTGCAGTGGGATGAATAGGTGATAGTATAGACCTGATGCGGCACCGGTGATGAATGCGACTCCTTCGAGCATCATTGTTGAGATTGAGATAGTATTTCTGGTTTGAAATGGGCTATATGGGAGTATGTTTGAGTGACAAACTGATCTCAAATTATCCAAAGATAAAGTGGTAATGCTAGACGGCCTGCAGAAGAAGCGGGGGTGTGACCAGCCATCCCGTGTGACAGCCGTCGGGATTTCTATCATTCGCTGTCTGTCTACGTAGATTACAGGGAAAGAACCGGTACTGGGGCTATAGTTTCAGCCTGATAAGATCAATTTGCTGAATGGTAGCGGTAATACTCAAGTAACCATTGGACAAGCAGTTTACTTCTCTAAGGAATCAAGTCAAACCAGCAGGATTTACAGAATGTCATTCCCAATGTGGCAGATATAGCCGGAGGGTATGCAGCCAATCCTTCATCAGATCAAAGGTCACGGTCCAGAACCAGAGCGGGTGTAATATTCTCATTAGCATTCCGATTAGCTGATATCTATCTAGCAGAAATGAAGCCATGAGAGTCCCACGTAAGCGAGAGCACCCAGCCAGTTGAGCTTCTACCGAAGACGAACCACAAGAAAAAACAGCAGGTAAGAGTGACCCAATCCAGAGATCCAGCTTTCCATGTTGCTCCAATGTTTATGAAGTCTGTCTCAAAGGTGAAACCTAAGTGAGTGTGAAAATAGCAAAGCGACTAGCCCTCGGCATCTCCAAAAGACAATAACAACGCAGTGTATTATCCGGAAAAGGCCGCCAAAGTCTCACCGTCCTCGCATCATGTGTTGACCGGTGCTACTGACAATGAATACGGTATTGGCATTTGGGACCAAACGCTGGGCCTCGTTCACTTGGCGTTTTGCTTTCGGGACGAACTCAGGTGCATCTCCACGAAGAGTAGAGCTGGGGTAGCAGTTTCTGGTGTTCCCGCTCGCCCCTGCATTGAGGCCCTGAAATCTTTCACCTTCTCCAGAGATTCCGGGCTGCACTGATCCCACAATCAGGGGCCCAGTTGCAGGCAAAGCGTAGGGTGCGTAGTGCATTGGTGGCATGGTGTACATTGGTGACATAGCACGAGTTTCAGGGCTGAGTGGAGGTCCATTAGGAGCTAGACCAGGTGCTTCATACATCTTGAAAGAGCGCTTGTTAGAAGCTTTCTCTACATAATTATTCGAGCTCGAGAATACTCACCGGCTGAGGGCCTGGGAAACGGAACTGTTCCATTTGCATTCTGTTCCAATTCTCCACTTCCTTCTGATGGTGATCCAGTCGCATGGCGAGATGGTTTGCCTGAGGCAGATTAGGGCAGAAAGTGTTATGCACAGGTGCACTAGCAACGGCAGGGAGCTCAGGACCAAAGGTGCTCTGACGCATAGTCGACGGATCACCATACAGACTTGGCTGGCAGGGCTCCTCCTGTTGTCTGCGGTTTCCTCGTCTTCTATTGGCGTGATTGGCCATGATGGCTTCGATAAGACCCTGGTATCAAGAAAGTCAGCATCTCAAGCATGTGTAACTTATCATCAAGGCGCTCAACAGAAGGATAAGTGGGCACTGAAGCTGTTCTGCGAATCTCAGGCTCGGGCTCAAGTCTCAGGGGAAAGATCATAGTGTAAGTGATAGTGAGCAGACGTGTATATCGTGAGGATGCAGTACAATGGAAGGAACGAAAGATGGTAGAGGTCAAGACAGCCGACCCAATACTGTTAAGGGAGCTGAACAAACTCACCTAGTAGTTTACTTGACCCTACCAGCGTCAAGTCAGACACGGGGGCGTACGTAGGGAAGGAACCTGGCCGGGGTGTCAGTGTAACAAAGGAGAGTGCGATGCTTTGTTGCGGTAGAGAAAGAAGCGAAAGAGAAAGAGCTTGTCTGCACCAGATGAGTGTGGCGAGTCACTCTCATTCATTCGCTTGCTCATTCACCATGCGAACATCGCGCCTGAGGCGCCTACTTCTCGCTTGTGTTGGTCGTGTCCCTGTGAAATTCTTTCTTCAGATCGCATACTGCCTTTGTTTCTACATCTCCGTCTACTACGCCTCAGCCTGGCCGGCAGGCGCCGGTCAGGCTGAGTGGTCATGCACAAGATCATCATATCGCGTCAGGTATGTTCCTTGTCGACATCTTCAAGTACGTCAGCTCAAATTCCTAGTTCTTAGTGTTTTCAGTGGAATTACCGTTCGTTTAAACGCCACTTCTGTCATATTATCTGAGCTCGGATAATGGACAGTAGTAGAGAGGACACGAACCAGAACTAGGATCAGATTTTTAAGAGGAAGTGAGAAAGCTACGAATGAATACCAAGGCCACAGCAGTTGGGTTGTCAAATCTTTGACCTAGTTCCATTCTTTCCCTTTCACGATTTTATTTCTTCTCTGCCCACCTCAGCAAGGTGTGGGACGGCAACGAAACAGAATAAGGAAAAGAGGGACAATGGAAGGAACAGAACCACATATTGTTGGTAAGTCTGACTGGAAATATCCTTCACTTATGCTCAATTGGCTCACACACTGATTAGCAGAAGGCAAAATCTAACCTATGACTCCTCCATCATAGCTCGAAGCTTGGTCTCGATCGACTTCCTTTCTATCATCTTCTGGTTGAGGAACTTAAAAGTGTCTTCAACAACCTCTCCCAACCGCTGGTAGTCGACGAGCAGCTTCTGAACTTCAAGAGCCATCTATCTACATTATCAGTCATCTGCACAAGATCCGGACAGTGTTGAAAGACTTACCTCAAGGTACTGGTCTCTTTGTGCACTTGTGTTCGCTTCTCGGACTTTTCTGCAGACGGATTCACTGAGTGCATCGAAGTGTGCGCAGGTCCAGGCCGAACCGTTGGCGGATGGTTCGGTCTGCACTCCTGCATCACTAGTTGCGTTGCCCTCTGGTCTGCGAAGTTCTGTAGGGCGAGACAGAGGAAGTGGAGGCATGGTCATGGTTTCGTGATGCCCAGCCATGGCATTCATACTGTGCGTGGCAAACGATGTTGGCGGAGCATGGCGGTTCGGTGATTCCGGAGTGGCGGGCTTGAACGGTGTCGACACTGCCTGCTGAAAATATGCAGGAGTGTCTTGGCTTGGGCTAAGGTCGATGTGGTTCCTTCCAAGTTGCTGCAACAATGAGGGAGTAGGCACAACTATCGGCGTTGATATAGCTCCAAGCGAAGTCGTTGGGTTGCGTGCGTTCTTCCCAAACTTCCTGCCCTTGAAAGCCGTCTTGCCGGCACCGCTACTGCTGCTTCGCGAGTTCGATTTGGTAGCTCGGCCCACACGACTCTTCTCTGCGCCCCGAGTCTTCTGCAAGATACTACGGAGGCTAAAGGCCTTCCGGGCAGTTGCATTTGAGACGGGCGGGATGATCTCATCGAAGGTAGTATGAGGTCCGTGGCTATTGATTTCGGCTGGGAGACCTCGCAGTGGCTGGAGAGAGACTGATCGTGGTGGAAACCTATCGTGAGCTGTGGCGCCCTCCGTGACCTCTGGCATTGAGGTATTGCGAGATATAGGGGCACGGAAAGGGCTGACAGGCTCCGACAAAGTGATGGTCAAGTCTCCTGCTCTCACTAGTGTGGTCGTTTGGTTGCGTGTACCAGCGCCGGAAGAAGACGGTCTCTCGATGTATTGTTGGCGTGGCGTGAGTGGCGGCTCATCGCCCGCACGTGCATCTTCGAAAAAGAGCTCTGTCTGGTTTTCGGGCGCTGGCTTTGGTTTGTTGTGTCGTGCCTGGCCCCCAACCCCGCTTCTTGTGGCATTTCTGGGGGGGATGGGGGGTCGGTCGACATCTTTGGTGATTGGGGGGAGGGTGGTTGGCGAGGAGTCGGAAGAGTATTCGTCGTCTTCGCTGCTTGTTTGCTCGGTTGACACTGGCCTGTCAACATACTGAAGTTTCGCGGGGTCCGACAATTCGGTAACGGCATAGTTCGGGTTACTTTTGCCTGTTCCCATAATGATCTCGTCGGCCGCAGATGCGATTTTCAGAGTTGGGCCATGTGGCAGGCGAGTTACTCGCTGCGTGAGAGGAGTGCGGTTTTCGCGCTGGTCGTCATCCCAGCCTGGTGCATTGCGGGCTCTTCTGATTAGAGGTTGGTAGTGAGGCATGCAAGACACCTCTGCTACCTGAGCACCTCCAGCAAGTTCCTCGGCTAATGCCTGGCGCCTGTCTACAGCAGTGGGGATAGCACTACGCGGCTCATAGCTTGCACGCGTCCCTTGTGGCGAATACGACTCCAGTCCTGCGCCAACGTTCTGAGTGTATCCGCTGGAGATATGAAGTGGGTGGACTGGGTGGGAATGCAAGGCGGTATATTTGTTTACTCCTGCGTCCCGCCAGAAAGTAGAATCATCTTTTTGTGGGTTAGCATGAGTGTTGCATGATCCGACAGCATGTACCTACTAGGGTTATACGGCGATGGATAAGCGATCGTCTGAGCCGGGTTGATATCCCGGGTGTATGGGTAACCACTCCGTGTGGCTCCTAAAAAGTAATTAGTACAGAGCAGTAAGAATATGAAACACCTTTGTGCTAAGACAGCTCGGTCATTGATGCGTAGAAACATAAGCTCAGGCACGAATATACCAGGCTCACAACCACCGACGCCATGTCCCATCGTAAGTGCTTCCCACAGAAGACACCATATCCAACTTTCGACAACACAAAATCAAAAGACAATTCTTACCTCTGATATCCCGACGATTATCCTCACGCCCCATGGCCCTGGTGTTCTCTGCAGGAGAGATCACTTCCTCAAGGGGATATCTGAAAGAAACGTTCTTCGTGTTGGAAGACATAGTGGGGATATGAGATGTTAAGTGTATCAGGCACAGATGAGGATTGGAAGTGAGACGAGAAGAGATATGTAGTTCGAAACACTTTACTGTGTCTGTAGCAGAAGACCCTCGAAGGATGTGACGATATGAGAGAGATGTAGTTTTAAAACACGTAACTCTGTGTCTGTAGGAGAGAGAATGAGGACCTCAACAAGAGTATCTCAACTGTTCTTCGGAGTCAAAACGACAGGGGAAAAAGCAACAAGCAAGTATTGTGATGGTATTCTTCAGAAGAGATGCAGAGAAGTATGTAGTTTGAAACACGTAACTCTGTGTCTGTAGCAGAGGAAGCCGAAGGCCTCGACAAGAGTAAACGACTCTCTTGAACACACGGATGAGAGGGGAAAAAAGCAAGTATGCTGATGTTCTTCTTGAAAAGAGAAGTAGATGAGATGAAAGTAGTCTCAAAACGCGTAACTCTGTGTCTGTACAGAAGAAAGCTTGGAATCTCAGTGAGAGTATCTCTGCTGGCTTGAAAATGATAATGAGAGGGACAGAAGTAAGAAGCAACTATGATGATGTTGTTCCCTAAGTGAAGATGTAGACGAGATGTGTTTGTAGATGACAGATGGAGACGAGAACAGCAGAGGATGGACGCGATCTTCAGCGTGTTGGATAGAACACAGCAAGTGTAGTGAGGAAATTAGTGTGTTAGAATCTCAAGGAAACAGAACACCACGCGAGAAATGAGAAGAGAAGACAAGATGCTAGATAATCTTGATCTTCCAAAGCAAGCAAGCAGACAGAAGAGCTAGATGAACGCGCTTCTCAACAAGTACAGGGAAACCGGAAGCTGCAAGATGAAGCAGATGAAGCTATTGAAGATGCCTGAGAAACGAAAGTAGACGAAGCGGAAGAGAATGTGGGAAAAGCGAGTGTTGGCCGGGCAAGGGAAATCAGTCAAAAAGACATCTCCTGCTCAGTTTGGTTAAGGAGCAAACGAAAGCTGTGTTCCCTGCAAAAAGACAAGGCGGGAGAGCGTAAGATTGACGGCAAGAAACAAGCATCAAGAGGGCTGTCCGCAGCATTCACCGGGAGGGTATGGTGTGCTGCCGTAATGGTCTCTGATACCAGGTGACTAGGCCCAGACTGGCTAACAGGTTGCCTGTATATGCTCCTGGCAGGCTATCAAGGACAGAAAGACCCACAAGGTAGAGAGATCTCAGACTGCACTTGCTTCCGCTCATATACTCAGTGGTCATGGACAGTACTTCTTTGACTAACCATGGGAGTCGGAACTTGACAGCATCCGTTCTGCAAAACGGAGATGTCTGGACGTCCTAGGTTAGCCAACTCGATATCTGTTTGCCTTTGGCGTCATTCCCAATGACCGGGTCTCTATGGCAGGGAACCTGCACGACAGCTAAGCCAATATTTTATCTTGACATTGAAGACTGGCCGATCATTGTATGTTATAGGCTGCCAATCTTGTTGCTTTTCAGAATGCTCCCGGACATAATGAGTTTAATTGACGATAGCTTCCGTCTCAGGGACCGGCAGTACTAAGTCTCGGTGCATCTTTATTGTTGCGCTTTGACTAGGCTTTGAATGAGTCGGCTTTGATATGCCACTTCTTGCAACAGTCACTCCACGGATTCCACACTCCCCTGCGTCGTGGGCGCTATCATAAGCT